CTTCCCCCCCCAACTCACACGTTGCTGGATAAAGTTGCCTCATCCACCATACCCTGGAAACAAGGCCTGAGATGTGTGTGTGTGTGTCCCTATTGGGCAGATCCTTAGAGGCATGGACGCTGCTCTCAGATCAGACGGGGGGGTCACCCAGTAAGCAAAGGTCAAGATCATCCATCCATCCATCCATGTCCCCCCCCCTCCCCAGGGCGCCTCTCTGTGTTCCAGAGAAACAGATTGTTGGAGATTAAGACCAGAAACATGAGGGAAAAAGAAGAGTAACGAAAAGCAGGTGATGAGCAATTGATGCTCAGTCTGGGGGGGGGGACATGGAAGGCAGCTGGAAGGTGTTTGGGGAAGGGAGCAAAGAGCGCTGATGGAGAGACATGCCTGAACACTGCCTAGGTGTGAGAGGGTGAGTGGGTGGGTGAGAGAGAGAGAGAGAGCGAGAAAGAAAAGGGTGCTTTTCTCTCCCTCCCTTTCCTCCTCCTCCTCTCTTCCTACTGGAGGAGAGACAGCGAGGACGAGTGTGAGAGGAGCACAGGGACGTGGGGAGAGAGAGCGAGAGGGAAGGCGCGCGTGTGTGTGTGCGTGCCTGCTTGCGCGCGTGTGTCTGTGCGCCAGAGAGACAGCGCGTCAGGACAATGGCAGCCGAACTGAAGCCTGGCACTGGCGTCTCCACGGGCAGAGGTGGGAGTCGGGGGGCGAGGGGATGTAGACGGGCGGGCAGGCGGGCGGACAAAGCTGTGTCGGGGAGGAGGGAGGAAAGGGGGGGGGGAGAGAGAAACACAGCCGTCGTGGCGATCAGTGTTACGGCCGCTCCCTGAGCTTGTGTTTTGGCTGCTTCTGCCTCGCTTCCCCTGGCCTGCTGCCTCCGCTTGCAGGTTTGTGTGTCTCCCTGTTTGAGTGTGTGTGTGTGTTTGTGTGTGTTTGTGCGTGTCTCCTGAGTTGGCTTGCTTAAAGAGTTTAGATATTTAGCGGTACATTTACTGCCCACAAACCTCTCTGTTGTAGTTGCTCTCCTGATCGTTCTTCAGCATGTTTTGCTTCCTGCGTCTCGGGTGTCGAGGAGAAGCACCTGCTGGGGTCAGAGGTCAGGCTTGTGCCAGCCAATCAGAGGCACAATGGCTGCACTGTTTACCACTGCGCACCAAATGTTGGGAAGACGGTTAA